TTGGACAAACTGAGCATTTTTAATGAAATTCAAAAATGAAACAGTTTGCGTGGGAGGACTACTGTGTCTTGAGGCTGACTCCAGATTTGGTTAGACAGCATTTGGTTAGACAGCAAGGTCTTTGGTTCAGGATAAGAGGCAGTGGTCACAAAATGAAACACAGGTGTTGAGATCTGAACATCAAGAAACGGTGTTTTGCTGTATGGATGAGCAAGCACTGGCACAGGCTGCCCAGAGGCTGTGGGGTCTCCCCCTCAGAGATCTCCAGACCTCTTGACCATGGGCCAGGGCACCCTGCTCTGGGCGGCCCCGCTGGAGCGGGGCTGGGATCCGATGGGCCCAGAGGACCCTGCCCTCTTCAGCCATGCTGGGACTCTGTAAACACAATTAGTTTACACTGTATTAACGTTTTTTATGTCTTCTTCACAAGTACAGGAACTGGATTTTTTATTTTTGCTAAGAATGAAAGTTGAGACTTGTAAGTACAATTTTCTGGCAGAAAGACTGGCAAGGACAGGATTTTAATGCCTCGTGCACTGTTGTCTTCAGACAACAGTGTAATGATTTCAATAAATTACAGATCTCTCTTCTACATATTGTAGCCTAAGATGAAATAAACCGGTGCCGTCACAATTCAATGTATCTATACTGACTAGACCTGACTGGTGGGCATAAGGCAGAGTGACACAACAGCAACGGGAACTCTGTGGTAGCCTATAACTTGGCATAGCAAGAACTTTGCAGTAAGGACCAGGATGTAAGTTAGCATATAGCAATTTTGTGGTTGTGTAGACTATTGGAAGAACTGAAGGTGAAAAGTACACTGGGAAGCCTTCGTGAGGAAGACTTGAAGACCCCTGCCCACAACCACCAGAGAGTAGCACGCATGCGTGTGGAGGTGGAACGTACTATAATGACTTCCCCAACCTAATTGGAATATTATGATGAGTTCTCGGAATTGTTTAAGCAAGCTCAGCCCACCATTTATGTAATTCTGTGCATATGTACATTTTGGTGTGTGAGTTAGGAGGAGTTATCCCCCTCACACCTGGCACCATAATAAACATATCTGCTTTATAACCTTATGGGGGTTATAGAGTTTGGTTCCGCATGTCAATACTTTTTTCCAGATCTCTAGCAAATGCAGCCTCCCTCACCGGTCTGGCAGCTTCTCTCTGCTCTTGCATATTCCCTGCTTCCATTTGGTTGTGCATCTTCCTTCTTAAAATTACTGGAGAAAAAGAAGGGAGAGCAGAAATGCTACATGTACCAGCAGCAAACTGAAAAACTGCTGTTTGTGTTCAAGAGCTTGCGGAGGATGACAATTTTAGACAATCTGTGGAGCTTTCTCCTTTCGCAAGAGAGCAGTTGGAGTTGAGCAGAAGTTGAATTATTGTATAATTGCAATAAAGTCATATTCACTTGCCAAAGATGAAAGGTACCAAATGCATCAGAGTTTAGCATGATCTCAAAGGAATACCAGAGCTGTCATTTTTATGGTGTGGCATTCCCTCAGCCTGAAATTGCAAAAGCAGCTTGTTCAAACTCTTCTAGAGCTCTTTTACTTTGGTTGGCAAGAAAGTGTTTAGATTTTTTTAGTGTTTTTTGGGTTTGGGATTTTTTTTTTTTAAATATATATATCAGAGAACAGAATAAGAATGAATACCCAGCTGGCACAGTGTGAATTTGCCAATCAAGCGTGACTGTATCACTCACTTAAAGCTGAGCTAAAGAGGCCTCCAGACAGATAGCACAACTCAGGCATGGCTTTTCTAGCTTTTATCCCAGGAGTCCAGAAAAAAAGCAACAGCAACAACAACAACAAAAAACAAACAAACAAAAAAAAACACCCAAACTACCAAAAACCCACAGACCTCATGAGATTTACTTACAGTCTGTGTGGACTTGCTAAAAGCTTTCATGTGCTGCCACACAGGAATTGCCCAGTTAAGCTGAAAGAGATGGGGAACTGAAACAAAGCTGCAAATTCAGCTGGGATTTCACTGCACATGACAACATGCAGCCCTGGAAGGCAAACGTGTAAACTGGGAGAAGTTGCTATTACTGTTTCTTAAAGTTTGTCCTGGGACCAAGAGTTTTAATTTGCATGTATTTGCATAAGCAGGAAAGCTGGAGTTCTCCGGGCAGGAATGTCAGGACAAATGAGATTCAGAACATCTCCAAGATATCATACAACCAAAGAATCAATAGGGCTGGAAAAAACCTCTAAGGTCATTAAGCCAACCATTGACCCATCCCCACCATGCCTGCTACCCATGTCCCTCAGTACTACAGCCACACTGTTCTTCAGTATCTTCACGGACAGTGACTCCACCACCTCCCTGGACTGCCTTTCTGAGAAGAAATTTTTCCTAATATCCAACCTGAACTTCCCCTGGTGCAATTTGAGGCCATTCCCTCTTGTCTTTTCGCTGCCACCTGGAAGAAGAGGCCAACCCTGTCTTGCTACCACCTCCTTCAGGTGATTGTAAAGAATGATAAGGTCTCCCCTGAGCTTCCTCTTCTCCAGACTGATCAATACCAGTTCTTCCAGCTGTTCTCCATAAGATTTTGCTCCAGACTCCTCACAGCTTCGTTGCCCATCTCAGAACACACTCCCATGGCCTCCATGTCTTCCTTGTATTGAGAGGCCCAAAACTGAACACATACTGAGGTGTGGCCTCACTAGAGCTGAGTACAGAGGGATATCATTTCCCTGCTTCTGCTGGCTGCACTGTTTCTGACACAAGCCAGGATGCCATTGGCCCAGCAATCCAGCTTGTCCACATCCCTCTGTAGAGCCTTCCTACCTTCAGGCAGGTTGACACTCCTTCCTCTCAGCTTGGTGTCATCTCCAAACTTACTGAGGGTGCACCCAATCCCTTTGTCCCTGGTTATTAATAAAGATATTAAACAGAACAGGCCCCAGTACCGATCCCTGGGGAACACTACTTGTGATCGGTCACCAGCTGGATCTAATAAACTCCATGCATCACCACTCTCTGGGCTTGGCCTTCCAGTGACTACATCATGTTGGGAACTAAAAGGACAAAAAATGAGATGAAATTCAATAATGGAAAAAATAAGGTCGTGCACTTAGACATTTATAAAAAGCATTTTTATTACAGACTGTGAATGATAGACAAGGAAAAGTAGTTGCCTGTATTAGTTGCTCACAGCGTGATCCCAGAACATTGCTGTGATTTGGGCATATACAAGCATACTACCTGTATGAAGAAAAAGTTGTCTGGGGAGACACTGGAAAGACTTCATCCATTGCAATAATCTGTGAAAAAAAAAATGTTATATTTCATGCCAGCTGTGTGTGGAAGAAAGCTGAATTCAAATTGTATTCAAGCTCTTGGTCCCAGTACTATAGGAGGAGACCAAGAATAGTAATAGGACAAGGGGGAATGGTTTTAAACTGAGACAGGGGAGATTTACACTAAATATTAGGAGGAAGTTTTTCACACAGAGGGTGGTAACACACTGGAACAGGTTGCCCAAGGAGGTTGTGGATGCCCCGTCCCTGGAGACATTCAAGGCCAGGCTGGATGTGGCTCTGGGCAGCCTGGTCTGGTGGTTGGCGACTCTGCACATAGCAGGGGAGTTGAAACTAGATGATCATTGTGGTCCTTTTCAACCCAGGCCATTCTATGATTCTGTGATTCTATGGTAGCAGTAAAAAAGAGTGCTAGCCTCAAAACACAAGTTCTGTGCCAGCCCCACAGCCTAATGATCCAAGGGGTTTGCCCACTTAGCAGAGCTGATTGCAGCACACAGACATCTGAGCAAGCTTGAACTATCCTTGCACGGTGCCTGGTGCCAGGAGAGCAGGTTAACGTGCTGCACCTCACTGAGGAGCGGGGGTCTGCTGACATCTGGCATCACAGCGAACAAAGGAAGTGAATAATTACAGAAAAACGTTTACATGGCAGAGGCAGTCGGCACTGAGCTCCGTGTATGCTGGAAGGAAAGAGCTCTTTCAGTCTTAGTGGTCCAGGACGCAGCTCGTCATCACATTTAAGAAGACAACAGCCTGACTTCCTTGCACCCACGGCTGTGTTTGTGACCTTACTTGGGACTGCTTTGATGGCAGAGTGCTCCCAGGTCCCACCACACAGGTCTTGGGGCAAGAAGGCAGCGTGCAGCAGCAGCAACAGAGAGAAATGGGCAGCTCTGCTCCCACAAAGGGATGGTTTGCAGAGAGGGCTAAAAAACTTGCATACGATATAAGTGACAGCGGAAAAAAAAAACACACACCTTGTTGAAGGCACAGATACTGTCTGCGCTTTCCCTATGTAAAAATGGTGACGGTGCTGTCAGTTCAACCCCAACTTTCAGCAAGGCTCTGAGCCGGCTCTTGGGATACCCGTCCTGCTCTGCCGACCGCCGAACATCCCCGCGCAGGTGACCGGGAAAAAAAAAACAACCCGGGCGGTTAAAAGCTCTGTGTTACCACTCCCTGCCCCGACCCCAAGCCATCGGCTTTGCAGGAACGCCCCCGCCAAGCGAGCGGGGCTCCGCACCCCGCCGTTGCCCCACAGCTCGCAGCGAAGCGCTCCGGCCGCTCCTCGCGGTGGGACCGCAGCCGTCCTCCCCCCGCCTCCCGCGCAGCCCCTCGCTCCCCTCGGCCGGGGGAGGGGGCTACCGTCACGTGTGCCGCCCGCTCCTTCCTCCCCCTCCCTCCCTTCTTCTTCTCCTCCTCCTCCTCCTCCTCCCCCTGCGCGGCGGCGGCAGCGCACCGCCGGGCTCCGCTCCCTTTGTTGCAGGCGGAGCGGCGGGCGCCGCGCACAAAGGAGCGCGGCCGGGGTACCGCTCCCGCGCCCCGCAGCGCCCTGCCCGGCCCTGCCCGGCGGCGGCGGCTCCGCGCGGGGATGCTGAAGGTGCGCTCCGGCGCGGCGGAGAAAGGACGGTCCCGCCCGGGCGGCGCCGCGGGCTCCGCTTGAGGCTGCGGGCCCTGCCGCCGCCATCCCGCCGCTCCCCCGCCGCCCCTCGCCATGGTGGCGGAGAGCCCGGCCGCCGCCCGGCCGCCGCCGCGAGCGGGACCCCCGCGGGGGCTGTGCTGCGCCTCGGCCCTGCTGCTGCTCGCTCTCTCGGCGCTGCCCGCCGCCCGCGCCTCCCACCCGCTGCCCGCCGGCGAGTGCCAGGGCGGCGGCAAAGGGAAAGGCGGCAACTGCTCAGGTAAAGCCCCGCGCCGCCCTGCCCACGCGTGCACGTGGGGGAGCGGAGCGGCGCGGAGGAAAACAAAGGGGCGCCGCTGCCCCGGGGGCTCCGCTGGGCGCTGCGCGGGGCGAGGGACGGGCGGCCGAGCGCCGCTGGGATGGGGCTGGCTCCGTGCGTGGATAGATAGATAGACAGACGGATAGACAGATGGAGAGATGCTGGCGCGGTGCGGTTTCAGCGCGTTGGTTCGGCGTGACAGCAGCGCGTCGTCGTGCATCGTGAGGGATATGGCGTTTGTAAAGCGGGGCAAAGTAAATACCGCATGAAGTTTCCGTTTCGCTAGCGGGGCTCGTTTCTCCCGTCCAACCCCTCCTGGTGAGGGCAGGTCGTTCTCTTTCCCCCCCTCCGAAGCGCCGCTCCCCACAAAGGGCCGAAGCGCCGCTCCGTGCCTTCTCCGAGGCGATGAACGGCTCCGTGCCGCCCGCCCCATTGTGTGCAGCGGGCGCGGAACTGAGCCCAGGCACGGGGAGCTCCGTCTTCGAGGCACCGGACCGCAGCCGTGACAAAGTGGGGAACAAACCGCACCGCCGCCCGCACTCGGTGTGCTTATTTGGTCTGAATTCATCCGGTTTGGTCGTCCGCGCGTTGTACCGCAACGCCGTCGCGGTGCGGCTGCCCGACTTTTGTATTGTGTTTGCAGGAATACTGTGGTCGTTCTTTAGGAGGGGTTAATAGGTCAACGTGTCGCCGGCATTAGCGGCTCAGCCGTCAGAGACGTGTGGGTCGTTGGAGCAGAGTAGGGGCATAAATCAGCGAGGGGGAGTGTGAAATATCAGAAATATCGGAGGAAGTTTCTAAGACAATGTGGGATGTGCAGAGACTGTTCAGGAAACACTGCTGGAAGAGGGCATCCAGGCTGACACCATCAAGTACAAAAAGGCAGAAGCAGATATACGTGCCATCTACAACATGAATGGCAGGCACCGGTTGTGGTGTCACTGTAAAAATGTAGAAGAAAAATTGTTCTTAAAAAGGCAGCAGTAGTCAGGTTCTGCTGTGTGGTAACTGCTTCACACATGATTGCGATGTTTCGGTTTTCCACGTTGATTTTAAAGAGCCTGATATCAACACGTGGTGTCTGGGACAGGTGTCCCAATACGGCTTCATTGAGTTTTACCTGGTTGGTTCTTCCCTGCCAGAGATGACTTCCCTGTATGTACACGTGGAGCATCAGCAGTTCTCGGCGGACTGGCTTGCACATCTCACTGTTTGCACAGGGCAATAAACTTAGAACTCTGTGACAGCTTTTTCTTCAAAAGTTGGGACTCATATAATTACTTTCCGTGCTCAGAGAAGCAGAATCCAGACCTTGCCTATTACTTTGTCATTTTGATGTTTGTATCAGGTTGACCGAATGCCCTAGAGCAGTTTCTTAAACTTTTTTGTGTTGGTCCCTGAGGCTGTAGCACTTCCTCACCACTCGGTTATGTAGCTACCTTTATTTTCTGTTAAATTGTTAGGAAACGGCTGAAGTCCTCTCTTTAATTCCTCTGGAGCATGCTGCTAAAGAAAGAGTTTGCTGTAGCAAAAGAGCACTGCAAGGTGAACAACGTGGGCAGATAACATAAAAATTCAGATGCTTTTCTAGCCTTGATTCTCTCCCTTCTGCCCAGGCATTGCAGTTCCATCTTTTGTTTAAATTATGATATAATGGCATTATCACTGGCCAAGGGAGGATCATATAATCAAGCAATTAGAGCAAGAAACAGAGAATTAGGACATAGCTGCCATTAATTGATGATGTGATGTGGACTTCTGTGCATTTGTTTATCTGTCGGTCCCTACTTTGCTAAGTGAGAAAACTGAAATAACTTGATTTTAATTAGAATGCTGGATAAAGCAGAAGTTGGTGGGGTGTAGGTTTTTTGTTTGTTTGTTTCTGTAAAAGAGAACAGGCACCAAATGTTAGGGTTGATGTTTTAGAGGTGTTATTGCCAGCTTTACTTGTAGTCATCTTGTGCTGCGCTTCTGGTACTCAGTGGCTGTAAGCAGGATGGTGTGATAGCTGCTTATCTGCTCTGGTAGTGAGTCAGTCTTGTCCTTAATAAAGACTGGGAAAGGAAGTATAAAATAGATTTAGTTTATGAGTTGCATTTGGGAATCCCCACGCTGTACTCTTCAGTTTCAGTCTGGATGGATCCCCTGTGTGAGTTGTGTTGCAGCCACAGGGGTTCATTTTATTGCAACTGCCCAAATTCAGTGCATTGCAGTAAGATTTGCTTTAAATTTGAGCACTCGGGATTCCAGTTAGCAGCAATATATCTCTCTTGGTAAGTATTTCAGCTGCTCCTTCCTTTATGTGATCATATATGCTTGTTGGGATGATTTCACACACCTTCTATGAGTCTTATTGGCCATATGCTGCCCTTGGTTTCTTAAAGTCTCTTTGAGCAATGTCTGTAAAGATAAAATTGTTTCAAGATAACTTATTGAGGACTGGATGAGGCCAAGGAATAGTAAAGGACATGTGGTCTTCACAGGATTACCCTTCTGAGGAGCATTAAAGTCTTTCTTTGGAACGATCATAACATCTCTGAAATAGCTTGAAGATGGAAGTAGATGGAAAATGCTGATTAGAGGGAGGAAAGGGAGAGTTGGACAAAGGAAAGTATCCATCCTGTGTGTAGGGTGATAGTGGAGAGTATGATGTGCTGTTTATTGAGCATGGAACTATAAGCTGTCAAAAAGCCTATAAATTTTTAGACAGAACAGCAGAGAAAGCTATAGAGGAGCAATCCTTTATCACATACACATTACCTTAAGTTTCAGTATGCTTTAGAAAAATGTTTTCTACCCTGAAATACTTCACAGAGTAAATTAGACAGAGAATGTGAAAATGGACAAAAGAGAGCGGTGAAGCAGGGAACATCAAGTGGTAAACCATCAGGAGTACAGCAAGCACAAGCAAAATTCATGCGTTAGGATACGGTAGAATGAGAAGGAAATAGTAGACATCAGAAGTGGATTGAAAACATCACGATGCTGGGCAACAGGAGGGTCCTGAGAAGGGATGGGAGTGGAAAGTGTTGGTTGACCTGTACATGAGAAGAAGTGAGTGAGGAAGCTGCATGTAAAAAGATAGAAAGCTGAGAATGGGAACAACTCACAAAGGATAACAAGAATTAGCCACATTGTATGCACATTTTCAAAGCATGTTTGAGCTTGCGTGCTTGCTTCCTGTGCGAGCAGAGCTTTAGAGATAGAAGATTTGGGAAGGGCACAGAAGGTGAGCAGGAAGAGCAACGGGAGATGGCAGTCTCATGCAGATAAGGCAGGAACATCCCCAGAACATGATAATAACTCCAAGTAGTATAACAACAAAGGAGAGAAATTACACTAATTGTTGATTTTTGCACATACTCAAGGAGGGAGCAGTGCATTTAAAATATGTCTTCTGTCACTGTTGCTAGATATGCATGTAGTAACATAAATAAAAAGATCTCTTTTTGTTTGGTCCTCTCTTCTCGTTCGCTTTCTAGCACTGATGAATCTGCCATCATTCAGAATTTGAAAGTCTTTGTCCTTGTTCTCTCCTCCTGATATTGTTGTTTCCCCATATCCTTGTCATGCAGCAGAGGTTGTTCAATTAGGCGCTCTTTATTTCCATTATTTTGTTAGATGATATCAAGTCTGTTCTCCAGGCACCATAGCAAGGATCCCCAAGATTATCATTGCTGTGTCAGCAGAAGTGGCACAGCATAAACATATGAAGAAAAAAATTATCTGCACAAGTCATCTCTTTACTACTTTGATGTGGTGCATGTAACGAATTTTTTAAATACGTTACATAATAATAATAACAACAACATATTTTTTAAATTACCTGCAGTAATCAAGGACCAGCAATGAAGAATAACACTTCATCTGTAGTTTGTGTGTGGACTACTAGTGCTGCTGTCTTGTTCAGTGCTTAATAGCTTGTGGGGATTGTAGGAAGTGGTAAAAACAAAGGTCACTGAAGCCAAACCAAAGTAGCGATGCTTGAAATATGTTGCTTTGCTCTCTCCTTGAGTGTGGCCCTTGCCTTTGCGAGGTCTCCTTCCTTCCAAAACTGTTTGATAGTTAACGGGACGAGACACTGAGAAGCTTAAAAAGTAAGTGCCAAAAACTTAGTAAACAAGAATCTGTTAGAGTTAGGAGCACAGTGTTTGAGGCACAAACTCAGTGCTTCTGACTACTCAGTTGCCTTTGCAAGATTTTCAATCTCAGAAGCATCTAGGATACATCCAGGATAGGCTCTCTTTCAAAAATACTGTCTACATTTACTGGCTAATTGCAGTTTTAGAGTTCAAACTAGGATAAAATATCACTATTTCCTGATGTGTTATCTATTATGCATGAGCTGTTGCAGTTGAATACTTCACCTTTTTGTTTAGGATAAGCAGGAGTCTAAAGCTACTCACATTGATAACATCTACTCTGTGAAGTGAAAAGCTGAGCTAAAGAGTGGGTTGGCCAATGTGAGTCGTGTATGCACTCTTTATCAGTCTAGGCTTCTGCACTATCCGAAGCTTGGATCCATTGTGTCCCTACTGTGCAAGGGAAGAACATAAAGCTGTGCCCAGTCCACCTGGTCCAGATGAAAGCAATGTGGGATGACATAAACCTCAGACACTTGCTGTTGCCAGAGCTTGCCCTTGTTTGTGACTGAGCTCTGCGTGACTCTGTCAGCCAGAATCTGATGTAGCCTCAAGCCTGGCTTTTATCTGTGCTTAACCGCTGGAACAGGCATACTCTTTGTGCCTTTTTTTTTTTTTTTTTTTTTTTTTTTGATTGTTATTCTAAAGATTAACTAAATGGGGTTTTTGGTTCTAGTGTGTCATCCTAAGTTATACAAGACCAAATCAATTTGTGTTAATAGTGTGAAGCCAGATTGGCAAGAATGGAAAAGCAGGGGATGGTTTGGGATACAGGTTCAGGTAAATTGGCCTAGCTGTTCTAAGAAATACATGTCTTGT